GTGGCTCATGCCTATATCCCTTGCACTCTAGGAGGTGGACGTGGGAGGATACGGTAAGGCCAGGAGTTTGAGACCAGCCTGAGCAAGAGTGCGACTCCATCTCTACAAACAGTAAAACTAGCCAAGTATTGTGGCAAAGTGCCTGTAGTCTCAGCTACTTGGGAGGTTGAGGCAAGAGGATGGGTGATTGCTTTAGCACAAAAGTTTGAGGTTTCTGTGAGCTATACCACCACAGTACTCTACCCAGGGTGACTGAGGGAGGCAGACTATGTCTCCAAAATAAATAAATAAATAAATAAATAGTAGATACAACAAAATGTTGCCATTCATAATAGTTACTCCAAGCAGTAAGAAATGTTAAGAGAAATGTATTATCTTATTTTTTTTTTTTTTTTGAGACAGTCTCACCATGTTGCCCTAGGTAGAGTGCCATGGCATCATAGCTCACACTCCTGGGCTCAAGGGGTCCTCTTATCTCAGCCTCCCAAGTAGCTGGGACTACAGGCCCTCACCACAACACCCAGCTATTCTGTAGAGATAGAGTCTCACTCTTGCTCAAGCTGGTCTCAAACTCCTGACCTCAAGCAATCCACTCGCCTCGGCCTCCCACAGTGCTAGGATTACAGGCATGATCAACCGCACCCTGCCATAAATGTACTATCTTTATGATAAAATAAAATAAAATCCATAGTGCAAAAGGTACAATATTTACAAAAGAGTTGACTAATTCAGGAATGCTGTCAGCAATCTGAGCAATGTATCAGTGACCATGAGAATATTCACATGTTCACAGAGTAGGATCCAGTACCTCTTCTTCTGGAACTATATCCTAATGCCATTATCCAAAACATAAGAACTGCAGTTTAACCTAGTGCTGTAAGAGGGAAGTAGTTTCCTTTCATACCATGTTCATAAGGTGAAAAAGTGCCTGCATCAATGTTAATATAAGGATCGATTTTGATGGCAGTAACCCGGAGTCCACATGACTTCAGAATTGTCCCAATGCTGCTGGCAATGATCCCTTTACCGATGCCAGAGATGACTCCACCTGTGACCAGGATGTACTTCATTGGTATAGCAATGGCTGGAGTGCCACCAGCCAGATATGATCTGAAAAGCAATACATTTAAGGGTCAGGGAAGAGAAACCTGTATTTTCTCAAACCAGTAAAGCAGAGAGTTCATTAATGGAGAATTTCAAAAGCACACAGCATATTTCTATGTAAACTAAATACCAGAACCTTTTTTTTTTTTTT